GCGAGATGAGATGGCACCCACGGCGAAATGGCACCCACAGTGAGATTACACCCACAGTGAGATTACACCCACAGTGAAGATGGCACCCACAGCGAGATGGCACCCACGGCGAGATGAGATGGCACCCACGGCGAAATGGCACCCACAGTGAGATTACACCCACAGTGAGATTACACCCACAGTGAAGATGGCACCCACAGCGAGATGGCACCCACGGCGAGATGAGATGGCACCCACGGCGAAATGGCACCCACAGTGAGATTACACCCACAGTGAGATTACACCCACAGTGAAGATGGCACCCATGGCGAAATGACACCCACAGCGAGATTACACCCACAGCGAGATTACACCCACAGTGAGATTACACCCACAGTGAAGATGGCACCCATGGCGAGATGAGATGGCACCCACGGCGAGATGGCACCCACAGCGAGATGTCACCCACAGCGAGATGAGATGGCACCCACGGCGAGATGGCACCCACAGCGAGATGGCACCCACAGCGAGATGTCACCCACAGCGAGATGGCACCCACAGCGAGATGACACCCACAGCGAGATGACACCCACAGCGAGATGGCACCCACAGCGAGATGAGATTGCACCCACAGCGAGATGAGATGGCACCCACAGTGAGATTAGACCCACAGCGAGATTACACCCACAGCGAGATGAGATTGCACCCACAGCGAGATGAGATGGCACCCACAGTGAGATTAGACCCACAGCGAGATTACACCCACAGCGAGATGAGATTGCACCCACAGCGAGATGGCACCCACAGCGAGATGAGATGGCACCCACAGCGAGATGACACCCACAGTGAGATGGCACCCACAGCGAGATGACACCCACAGCGAGATGACACCCATAGCGAGATGAGATGGCACCCACAGCGAGATGAGATTGCACCCACAGTGAGATGGCACCCACAGCGAGATGAGATGGCACCCACAGCGAGATGGCACCCACAGTGAGATGGCACCCACAGCGAGATGGCAACCACAGCGATATCGAGATGACACCCATAGCGAGATGAGATGGCACCCACAGCGAGATGAGATTGCACCCACAGTGAGATGGCACCCACAGCGAGATGAGATGGCACCCACAGCGAGATGGCACCCACAGTGAGATGGCACCCACAGTGAGATGGCACCCACAGCGAGATGAGATGGCACCCACAGTGAGATGGCACCCACAGTGAGATGGCACCCACAGCGAGATGGCACCCACAGTGAGATGGCACCCACAGTGAGATGGCACCCACAGTGAGATGGCACCCACTGCGAGATGACACCCACAGTGAGATGGCACCCACAGTGAGATGGCACCCACAGTGAGATGGCACCCACAGCGAGATGACACCCACAGTGAGATGGCACCCACTGCGACATGGCAACCACGACTTCAATCACCTCTCGAGTCACCAATTGATTAAAATAAACGCAGAGGTCTGAAAATGGCACCGCAGAGCTTTCCATCACTACTGACCGGTCACTTGAAATTGGGATATTGATGACACTGTGAGGGGGGGGGGGC